CTATCTCCTTCCAGCATGGTTCGAATTCAGAATAGGATCTCTATCGGTTTGGAAGTTCTCCAATATTTCACGACTCGGGAATGGTGGTTCGATACAAACAACTTCAAGTCTTTGGTTAATATACTGAACCCTGTTGACAAGGAGACGTTCCCAATGGATACGACCATTATAGAGGATGAACCCTACATAGAGAGTTGCATGATTGGAGGCAAGCTGTACTGCTTGAAGGAAAAACTGGAGAACTTGCCAAAAGCCAGATTGCAGAACCAAATGTAAGTATACGTGTTATTGCATGATGCTCATCATCATCATCTTCAGCAGCTTGAATAAAGAGACTAGTACAAGAAGTTATCATTATGCTATCCTCGTAAATGACAAATTTATCGTATTACATGTAGGAAACATTTTTTATGGGATAAGCCGATCGGCGCGGCGTCGCCCATGAACACCTGGAATACCAGAGGCGTTTTAAGGGCGTTACTACTCTTTTGGGATTAGGAATTTGAGGATTATTAGGGAATCATGGATTGGGGAAGGGGAGGGGGTGTTAATTAGGCCTCCTGTAACCTCACTCACATGACGAAACACGTCAGTCCTCTGTGAGGCCGTGGCCGCCCATTTGTGCCAAAGCATGGCGCTCCGACACTTATTAAAGCAACCCAAGTGAATTGTATTCGTGCTAAAGGATATCTATTTTTATTAAACCAAACCTACCATTCTGGTAGCAACTTACCTTTAATAAGCCCTTCGCCCTGACTAACTAGAGCGAGAAATTCAGTCATTCAATCAAATGGCTAGTCATTCAGACCGTTAATTATAGGTCTATTTAAATTGTGTGGCTGCGACGTATAAATAATATTACTGCTATCTTTCCAGACTGTACATCCTGGACCGCTTGGTATCCTTATTCTTCTACCTCGTGCTGCTGTACTGGATCGTATCTTACTTCGAACCAGCTCGGGAACTGCTCTCGTACGGCGGCCCAGCCGTTCGATACCTACCATTAGTTGGAAAAGCAGTATTCAAAGATGTGTAATGAAATGTATTCAAAGATGTGCAATAAATAAACCCAAAAAAATCTAAAATAATGAAAATTCGATTTCATTTGAAACTTAATTTTTTTTAGAAAAATGAGTCCAATTGACGTTAATTAGTAGTAGATACTCTGATAATTTCATAATAATTTTTGTATGAATTACTCAATCCATATAAAATCATCGTTTTGTATAATTATGTTTTAAAAAAAACATTGAATTTGACCAGGTGTCATCCCTATTTAAAAACGTTGTAGGTAACTTTTAATATACTTATGGAGGTTCCACTGGTCTAGTCCAATAATTCATTCATTCATTGGATAAGACAAATAATTCATTCAAAAGTATACCCTTTAAAAAAACCAAAATATATAAATGAATAAATTTTTTATTGGGAGTTGGTGAAGAAGATATTTTTATCAAAATCGAAAATAGTATTGTAACATTTGATAAATGCAAGAGGTAGGAGTAGAATAGTTAGTATGTACTTACATATTTGTAATTTTTGTATTTGGGTTTAAAAAAAAATATTAAATAGACTGAACTGGATTCGTCTTATTTTGTTAGTGGTTTTATGTGTACGTCTAATTTTGAGAAGTATGGTTATAAATATACAGTTGACAATAGAATGTAAGATGATACGATCCACGACAAATAAAAAAAAAACAATACATACTGTTATAGTGATATTTTTGTAAATTTTATAATAAATTTTTATAATACTCGTACCAAATATAATGTTTTAACAATTATAAATTAGTTTTATTACTACAAACTATGAAAGACACAATTAAAATTTTGTAATAAAATATCTACGACTGAGTATTTTCCATGAATTCCTATTTTTTACTTAAACTTAAGTACAAGTTCGTCAAGAAGTATCTACGTATACAAAAAAGTATTACAACTTTCCACTTAGGTATAAAATTTTATATTCAATGAGTATTTATATTAAAGTTCTTGCTAGGTGGCTTTGTTGAGATTTAAAGGTCTGATAATCTTATGACTGCAGTTAGCCCAATAAGTAACGCTTAGGCAGTGGCAACTAGACTTCCAGAAACATATTTAGTCATACATATATCTACTTGTAAATTACTACAAATAAAAAAAAAATACACTAAAATAAAAAACACATAGTCGTAGAGCCTACTTAGTACAATCGCCACATCAACATACTTCAAATTAACTAAAACTCGCGGGTTACTCGATGAGAAAAGCTCTACTAGTTTCTTCGATGCGTGCGACAACGCTAGCCAGTAGGCTGCGCAACATCGCCGCGACCGCGCACGCTGCTCATGAACCCCTCTGTGGTTCGAAACTAGTAGAGCTTTTCTCAGTATATTCACGTGAGTAACCCACGATTTTTAGTTAATTAAGTATGTCTCACGATAGTTATTATACATTAAACATACTACAAATTTTCAATTTTTCGACTTTTTATCTAAACAATAGAGTTCTAAATCGAATATAGAAATTTGACAGGTGGACCTGCTGCTCACTGTACATAAACTTTTAGTACTAATTCAAGTAAATAATAATTGCATCAAATGGAAAAACTGACTTGACTTGAGACTGAAATCTTAAACGAAGAGTACTGTGAATAGAACCAGTCAAAATGATTTACGTTTAAAATCTAGTTAGGATCAAACGACGGTCTCTCCGAAACGATCATCTAATGAAGAGCTTAGGGTATCTACCTCATGTTCACAGATAAAAAAGGATCTTGTATCACAACTTATGTCATTTAGTAGTCCATTGTAGAACATGGAACCACATTGCTCCAGATCACCGCCATCAGGCTGATTTGTTCCCCAGCATGTGTATCCAGTGTCATCTAATGCTGTACCTGTAATTGAAGCAGAATTATCCATATTTGAAATACGTCTGCTATATTTCTCTCAAAGCTAGATTTCTTGTATAGCTGTGGCTAATGACGTAACTTGAAAACATTTTAGTGTAGACATAAAATGTAGTCTTAAATCTGGAAATGACATCATGCTCATATGCTCATAGAAACAAGAAAAGATTTTCTAACGAGAAAAAAGTGGAAGAACCTATAAAGGGTGGCTATATGCAACGAATGAAGGGTATCATCACTACCATCCTACTTTCGACCGGGTAGTAGGTATCAACCTGTTACTAGTGTGAAGTAGCGATGTACGATGTACGATGTACGTTTAATAAATAAGAGTTCTTGTCGTGACTGATGCTCAACCCTGTAAATTGCGCTTTAGTTTTCGAAGAGAAGGTAAATCGGCAACGTACTAGTTACAAAAAACAGCAGATAACCATTCATTTGAGTAAAAACGAAGTTGAAATGCCCACATTTACATACCTCTAACAGCTTGCCAACCCTCATTGGCTCTGTTATGGAAGCCCAAATGAACAGCTCCTCTCATGAAGTTTCCTGGTACCCTGTCCTTAGGCTTCGATTCTGTCAGGGCCACGAGATAATTAGCCTCTTCCTGCGTGTTGATAACAGCGAGATACGACTGCTCAGCGCTGCACACAGCGTAAGCATCAGTCCAGTTCAATGGATTCAGGTGGAACTTGTAACATCTACCGAACTGTTCATTGTATTCGTACTCTGAAAGTTAGAAACGTTATGATTAAATAACAGAAAATAACATACATTGTACCGTGGCAATAACTTTTTGAATAAAAAACCAAAAAACAATTGTGTTTCGCGTGTATCCCTGTCTTAGACATAATGTGCACCTCTGTCTACCCCTTCGGGGATAAAAGGCGTGAATTGATTATTATATGGGACTCATAAATCCCCGACTCCGTGCTACTAGACCCAAGAATCGAACCACTCGGCCAACGAGGCAGTCCCGAACGGCTAGTATGATTAAAAAATAGCCGCTAAATCTTTCTTGAAATGTACGGTTGCGGTTGGTCTGTGAAATCTACATATAAAGAAAATTACTTTCTGTAGATGGCGTGACCCGCATGACATAACTAAGAATAGCTAGACCAGTCTTTGGTATGTAAGTACGAAAATGAAGATTTATTTAGTACAGAAACAGTAACTCTTGCCATTTTCCTTTCACTTTCTTATTGCCATTAATTGGCTCAGTATCCAATCAATCGGGAGCTGTGGACAACCTAATGGGTAGCCGCGGATCCGTGTATAAGTAGGAGTAAGAATGGAGTGGTTTTAGTCAGTAATTAAGAGTCTAACCCTTTCTCTCGTCGCGTCGCGG